CCCCTACTACTTTTTCCGGAATTACAATTGTTCTAGTTATTACTGCTGCGGCTACAGCTACTACTATTACTATTATTATTACTGTTACTATTACTATTACCATTACTATTACTATTACCATTACTATTACTATTATTATTTGAGAAGCTCCTTGAATGGCTTGACTTCGGGCCTCCTGCGGAGTCAAAAAAAAAATAAATGATAGTTGGGAGTCTCCCAAAATTAGGGGTACCCTTTTGGGGGTCCCTATAATAAGGACTATAGTATTTTGGGGTCTATATTGAGGTCCCCTTATTTTGGGAGACTACCAGTTGGCGCGGTGAAGAAAAGAAGGGTTTGGGGGTGAGCGCGCGGTCAACTGATGGGAGTCTTTGGTCAAGACAGCTGTTGCCAAGCTGGTTTAGGGCTTACGTTTGCGGCCCTGAACTGGATTATCTTCCCGGAGAATCTCACACAGGTTCAGTTTCAGGTGTTTGTGAATTGCCGTTTCCCTGTCATTATAGGTCATTAGGCTTACTGCTTGAGAAAGGTCCATGTTAGGGGGATCCCCAGGCTTCCGAGAAATTACTGGGATTTATGTTTAGGGTTAAGGGGGTTTGATGGGTTTTGCTTTCAGGCCAGGGCCCCTAGCCCCCACCCTCAGACTGTAAGTCGATGCACGATGCATACCCCAGGCCAAAGCAATGCTGAATCCAAGCACTGGCAACCCCACATTATGGAACTCTGCCGAACATTTTCGCTCAGAAAGACTTTTCTGTGCTCTCAAGCAAGTAAACTTGCAAAGTTCTACTGTGATCTGTGCAATTGAGCTGTCTGCCTCAGAATAATCCTAAACTTAAACCGTCCTTGACAGCACAAACCCAACACCTAAAAGTGCCCAAGGTTTGGTAAGCAAGTTGCTGCGTGGTAGTTCTACCAGCTTATGTTTGCTCACGGTCCCTTTCTGTCAACCTGCAAGACTTGGCTACATGGTAGGTTGTCAACATTCAACATTATGGTCTTGCTGTGGGTCCCCAATTTAACCCGCCCCGAGTTTGAATAGGGTATGATACGCAAGTTGGCAACGCACTTTTCCAGGCATTGTGATATGCATGTGAGCAGGGCAGGCCAATAGTAGGTGCAGCCCCAAGCATCTGAAGGGGGTTTGCCAAATTAAGGATGCCTTTTTCGGGATCCCTCTATTTAATAAGGTCATAGCATTTTGGGGTTAAATTGGGGGCCTCTGATTTATGGAACTGCCCAAGAAGCCCCGTGACCGTCCCATGGCGAGGCATAATCCATGATGTTTTAGACTAGAGACCCGAGACTTGTAGGAAACTTGAATTTCTTCCCATGGTGGACTTCAGCCGATACTAAGTTTAAACATGGAGAGTGCTCCGCAAAAGAAGCCGTGAAAAGAAAACACTTGTCGAAAAAACTGACCAGTTCCCATGGGTGGAATGCTGCACAACCGCCATATCTAGGCACTCGAACTACTGACTCCATTTGGCGTCAGAAAAAAACTTCTGACTACTGTCCTCATGTTTGGACTGTTATTTGGAATACGCGTCCCCATACATATTTTCTTTGCGATTTCGCAGGTAATCAGGCACGGACCACTAATTAAAAGTTGAGGTTGGATGCTCGGCGCCAGTCGCATAAGACCTTGAAGGAGCTCCACGATCTGGAGGCCGATGAATTTGGGAACGTCCTGTGGCATTGCACTACACAAAACAAGGGGCATTGCGAGGAATTGTCCTGCGCGGTTAAAGTAGGTTCCATTTTGGTTCGGTTGTCCCAGGGTGTTGCCAATGATTTTCGGGGTAGGCTCCAAAACAAGCAGTTGCGATCGTGGCAAATCAATGGTTGTTATATGAACCTCCAAGAGGGAACTTCATTTTGGCGTACATGCTCGTAGCTGCATCGGCCGTCCTTTTCACCTGGTGCTCAACGACGAGTTTGAGAGCCAATAAAGATGCGCTGTTAAGAGAACACGCGCGGGTTATGCGAATTTAAGGAGTTGAAAGCCCCAAATCCGGAATTGAGGAATTGAGAGCCCCGACCCTCAATGAAGAAATTGAGAGCCTTCGACACCAGATTAAGGAACTGAGAACCCCCGACGTCGCATTAAGGAATTGAGCCCGGAAACCAGAGGCCTCTCGATGTCTTTGCTAGAAGGCGTTTTGTTTTTCGACCCAACACACATTTTTTCCAAAACCGAGAGCTCTCAATTTCTGAACCATTGTTTCATTAAGCAGTGCTGGCGCATTATTTACAGGGGTCCACCTTATGGTAGTTTCCATTTCCCAGTTCCCCTCAGGAACCCTAAACGCCCAAACCCTGAACTTTGAACCCTTAAACCCCGAACCCAAACGCTAAAACCCTACTGCCGGTAAGTTGTTTTGGAGGCCGAGCACAAGGCCCACCTGCAGGGCGTTGACGAAGAGCACCCTGTTATAGAATTTGGGGGGGGGGTTGTCAAGATGTGTGTTCCCCTTTTTGGCCTCCCTTACAGTTTGCTGCCTTCGGATTAAGTAATGTACCCCAAAAAGGGTCCGTACCCATACTTTTTCGTAAACCTTTGACCTTTGCAGGTACATGTTTTTCAAAGTTGTCTGTCGAGATCTTATAGTTCTTGTGGCATGGAGTGCGTAATTCTTGAGGAGGGAGTATCAGTATATGATCAGACATGGGGGAGGTGGCCAGATCAATCTTCCGCTGGCCGCTGGTTACTTGATATTACTATTACTACCATTACCAGCACCTGCTAACCTAGTATTACTGCTACTTATTCCCCACTTCCCCACATGCACTGTGGGGTTCTAGTTTTTTAGATGTGCTGTCGCCCGCCATGCCAGCGTGCTCTTCCGTTGCGCAAACATTTTGGACGCGCCCTATGTCGCTTCAAAATTGCGCCCTCGCTCGGAGCATCATCACAATCGGCATTCTATGCTAATTTTCGATCAAAAAAGATGACTTTGCCTTTAACGTAGTCTTGCTAGAGGGGTCCGTAACCTAACGGCTCGACCCCCCGATTGACGAAAATTGCGCTCCAGTTCTGGGCATCCTGGAAATTCCAGATGTTGCTTACTCAAAAATTGCGCTTCCGCTCGACAGTCGTGTTTTTTGCATTTTTATCGTCTTTGTATCATCAAAACTGCCTTCCCGTGCGGAGCATCCTCGAAATTTCGTCGATTTATCTTCATTAAATTCGATCAAAATGACGCTCCCGTGCGGAGCATTCGGAAAATCTGGATCATTTATGAACGATGATGTCGAGGAATTCTATGTATACCAATTCTATACCAAACAAGTCCCGGTGTACTTCGCTCGAGGTTGTTTTCTTGGTTCAAAAGGGCGGTCTTGAACGGAGCGCTCCAGTATAGCTTTGGAATAGGATTCGTTGACTCCGTCGTTCACAAACTGAGCGTCAAGCCGATGGATCCTATACCAATTCTATACTGAGCTGCTCCGCTCAAGCTCGTCTCCTTCGTTCAAATTTTGAAGAAAAGCGCGCTCCCGTGCGGAGCATCCTGAAAATTTTGAAGAAAATTGCGCTCCGGTGACATACATACATACATACATACATACATACATACATACACACACATGCATACTTTCATAATTAGACACTTCCACCCTTACCCTTCAAATTCTCCCGCTTTTACGTTTAGACAGTCTCAAATTCTCTGCTTCTACGGTTAGACAAGTCCACCCTTGCCCTTCTAATTCTCCGCTTTTACGGTCAAACAATTCCACCCTGACCCTTCAAATTCTCCGCTTTTACGGTTAGACAGTTTAACCCTTACGCTTCACAATCTCCGCTTTTGCGGTTAGACAATTCCACCCTTACCCTTCAAATTATCCGCTTTTACGGTTAAACAAGTCCACCCTTACCCTTCAAATTCTCCGCTTTTACGGTTAGACAATTCCACCCTTACCCTTCAAATTCTCCGCTTTTACGGTTAGACAATTCCACCCTTACCCTTCAAATTCTCTTCGTTTACAGTTAGACAGTTCCACCCTTGCCCAAATCTCAAATTGCAAGGCGTGTCCCCCTAAGATTTGTCAGAGATTCAAGTCCCCAAATCGCAAATCGCAAGGGGTGTTCCCCAAAGATTTGTTCAGAGAATCAAGTCCCCAAATCTCAAATCGCAAGGGGTGTCCCCCCTAAGATTTTTGGAGAATCATCTCCACAAATTTGAAATGGCAAGCAGTTCCCTCTTATGATGTTTTTCAGAAAATCAGCTCCGGAAATCTCAAATGGCAAGGTCTGTCCCCCAAAGATTTCTCAGAAAATCAAGTCCCCAAATCTCAAATCGCAAGCAGTGTCGCCCACAGAATTCTTCAGAGAATCAAGTCCCCAAATCTCAAATTGCAAGGGTGTCCCCGTAAGATTTGTTCGAGAATCATCTCCCCAAATCTCAAATCGCAAGGGGTGTCGCAATCAAGTCCCCAAATCTCAAATCGCAAGCAGTGTCCCCCTAAGATTTCATTCAGAGAATCGCGTCCCCAAATCTCAAATCGCATCTCCCCAGTTATCGTCTCGTCTTCTTATTCTTAATTAATTCGGCGGGCGACAGCATCCTCATGTTATCTCACTTAGATTCAGATTAAACAACACATGTGGGGTTCTCCGGTCCGTTAATTACTGTTATTATCCCTACTATTATTACCTCCCAGTACGCCCCTGTTTCGACAGATGTTGAGACGAGTTAGTCGAGATCTTCCCCCATCCTCCCCTAAACAAAGTAAACGGTCCCAGGGGTCGTGACGAACATTCCAAAAATTGTGGCAGTGCACCTAGACCCTAAACCCTAAGAACCCCTAAGCCCTCAACCCTATACGAAAGAAAGCCTTCAGCCACTGGGTAGACCAGCAACCTCGCCTACTACTGCTGTTTCAATTTTCCCTAAGGGTCCAAGTACCTAATAATCATATACTTACCCAAAACCTGTACTATAATTACTTTACCCAAATCCCAAGTACCTAATTATTGGGTACATGAACCCTAAACCCTAAACCCTGAACCCTATATATCCCTATATATCCCTAGATATTCCCTTTAAAGGGACCTAATTATTGGGTACATGGACCCTCTGGGTTTTGAATTTTGCTCACTCACCCGCAGCTGCGCAATGATCAGCATCCTCGGCCCTTGAGACCCTAACCCTTAAACCCTAAACCCTTAACCCGTAACCCTTTACCGCGATAGGATTAGAAGTCATGGCCGAGGGCCTCAAAGCCAAAAGCCCAGGAAGGCGAACGAAACTGAGCCTCAGCACTGCGAAGCCCATGAGCCTTCATTGTAGACTTTACAGACCCTGCCGGCCCTGTGGAACAGATACCAGGATCATTTCCGTTTGAATTTGAAACTTTAAATGGAATTCATATTAAGACAAGCTCACCTTCAAAAAGGAATTCTATAACTCAGTGAAATCCCACGTAGATCTGTGACATGTCATGATCCTTGGAAAATAATGATTGCAGGAATTGGGCAATAGGTTAGCCCAACATCGATCATCGAAAATCTGCAGAAAGCCATTTGTTTACGTAGGAAACATGCTCCAGCTGGATCGAGGGGGGGACCATATATATAGATATACACATATATATATATGGTTCTTTGGAGCCTATGGTTGCCATGAGCCTAAGCAAAACCTGAACCGTGAACCCTAAAGCAAACCTAAACTCTATGAATCCTAACCCAGGTTGCAAGGGCTTCTGGCCACCGCGGAAGGTGCTGCGGAGCGTCTAGAGGCCAACAATGCCTCTCAACTGCAAATCGTAAAAACCGTCTGGGCCTGCAGATTTAGGGTTTAGGGTTTAGGCTTCATAGGGTTTAGGGTTTAGGCTTGATAGGGTTTAGGGCTTCGGGTTTAGGGTTCATATTCGGTAATGAGTAGGGATGTTGGGTAACCCAACCCCAATGGGAACTCAAGTTGATAATGAACTAAGGGGTTGTAGTAAGCTCAACCCCCATAAATTGGGACCCCATTGCAGTCACATGAGCTCATATGATAGCCACATGGTTCTAAGTTGGGGGTTGGGGTTCCCAAAATCCTTTGTTTGTCATCTACACGTGGGAACTTATCAGGTGTGTAATTACCGTAGAATTTCCATAGTACTACCATATGACTCCCGTATATACATAGAAGCGTTATGTACGAGATTACACACCTGTACATCCACCAAACACCAGTATTCTAAGGAGCATGCCATGTCGAGTTTGGATGGTTTGGGGTTTTAGGGTCTAGGGAGTCAGATCAGACCTGCATCAGGGTTTTGGGACTTCTTATAGGTTTCTCTGGCAGAGTCCCCGTGGAGGCTACTCATTTCCAGGTAACGCTCCAGGCTTTTTGATCGCAACCTGCTTCAGTTAGTTCGTGGTATACCCATGCCCCCTAAAGGATCCAAAAAATCGAGCCTCCATGTAATCCCATAGGTTCCCCAATGTAGTAATGGGATCATTTGTTTGGGCGGTTATATTTTTTTGGATCCGTTGGGGGGTCTGGGGAGTGAGGTAGTTATTTTAATCAAGGCTGTTCAGCATGAGCGCTCAACAAAAAAGATGAAGGTGTTCAACCGCTGCAACAGCTGAAGCTCAGAATTTTGCAAGATTATCCAGCACGATCACTTAACTCGGTTGGCATTTTTCAGCCCTCTGCAAAGTAGGCGTTTCCTGCCAGTCATGGGGTTTATAGTCCCTAGAATATGGCTTCGGGTATATTATAATAAGATCCCCATATGCCCCATATTCTATCTACTTAAGGGGGACTATAGTGCTATGTGAACCATCCATCCGGCTTGCGGTGTGAAACCTTTAGCCTGGTGTCCGCCGCTCACTCTTCTCCTACGCGCGTATGAAATTGACCAATTCGCTGGCAATTGGAAACCCTTGGAAGCACCTCACAATCGGCAAGTAACTTCCTTGCAGTAAGAAGTCCCTACGATCATGTTTAGAAGGCTTGGGTTTTTAAATGCTATGATTACTTTTATTACCGTTATTGTTATCATTATGCTTCCCAGTCGTCCTGAGGAAGACGGGTTCTTGCATCTTGGGATGCCTGGAACAGGAATACTAACCGTAATAATGATAGTAGTAAAACGAATGATAGTAGTAATAATAAGAATATTAATAGCAATAATATTGGCAAGAATATAGTAGTAATCGTAGTCATAGTAATAATAGTTAAAAGGAATTCATTGGCCAGGCCATAGTGGAGAACAAGCTTTGCTTCGCGACGTCTAGAGGCCAATTAGGGGTTATAGGGTCTTAGGGACAATTACCCTGAACCCTACACCGCGTGGTCCCTTGTAGAAGTATGGTAGGTGCAGGGGTCTCCGCTCCTTCATCCCCCTCCTTGCAACCCATCGGGTCATTTTGCTTCAATCGGTACGTCCGCTCATGTTAGGCCCCCTTTGACAATAAGCGCCCCAACCCGCCCTAACATTGAAATAATCCCATAGAACATGAGGCCACAATATTTCTCATGAGGGGCATGGAATTGCCCCGTAAACCCTCATCCCTAAATAAACCCTAATCCCTAAGCCCTAAACCCTGATGCCTTCGCGACCAAAGGAGGAAGTTGACAAACAGCTTCAAGCAGCGGAGGCAAGCCATGGTTGAGATACTATCCACTGAGGAGTTGGGGCTTCGGATTAGGGTGTAGGATTCAGGGTTTGGGGTGTAGGATTCAGGGTTTAGGGTTCAGGGTCTTGGGCTCAGGGTTCAGGGTTTAGGGTTCTGGGTTTAGGTTCAATGCCTTGCTCCAGGGAATGGGGATGCTCAGGGTATTCTAGGGCCCGAAATAATAGCCAATATTACGGTTCTAGACTACTTGCACAATTATGGTGCAGACTACCCCAAATAGATCTTAAAATGGTGTTGGATGATATTGGTCTAGGCTTCTACATTCTAAGAATCAGAGAGGCTCTGAAGGGCCGATGTCTTGATGTCCTGCTTTGACCCTTTGGGTGCGTGAGTGCATATGGGTGGTTGTCAAAATTATGGTCCCTTTTTTGGATCCCTATTAGAATACGGCACCCAATATTTAGGGTACCCAAAAAAGGATCATATGTTTGACGCCCACATATATTTAAGCTTATGACCCCCTTCACCTTCTAGCAGGCGACCTAAACTTTCTAAACCCTAAACAAAGCGAAAAGGCGCTAAGCTGACGACATTCCAGTTTTTCATTTGTTCCCCCTTTGGCCAGTCAATATTGGGGTTATGTTGGGATAATGGAAAAGAGAACGGAAACCCCTATAGTATAGGGTTTAGGGTTGTGAACTGCAGAGTAACAGTGCAACAGAGGGTGAGAGACAGGATCTTGATGTTCAGGGATGTGGTAGAGTCATACAGAATGAAAACACGCTTGGACATCGAGGGATAGAATGGGCTCCAGCGAGTTCCACAAGTTTCGACCACTGTTGGGTTTGAGGCGTTAGGGTGAGTTGCGGTTTGCGTGCAAATGTATGATCAGTACCAGGTCTGCGTGGCAGAGAGCAGGATCTGATGAAACAACTTTCGCAAACTCGCAGACCGAATGGCTATATTCAAGCCCTGTCCTATTGCTTAGGGTCATGAATTGCAACAACCCATCGTCCAAGCTTCTCAGGCAGAAGAACTGGAGGGACAGCTCAAGCAGGACGGGTACATGTCTACGCCGAGCCTTGTGTAGAGCATGTGAATGACATATTTCTGCACGCGCCAGTTTGAGTGGGCGCTACGAACGCTCGAGGTAAACATGCAGAGAAGGCGCGAATACATATACTTTAGGCATACGTAGATCTGTTTGGATTGCTGGCTTCTTACAAAGGGTGAACTCTAGATTGGGGACTGCGCCTCTAGTTGCACGAGTGAAGTCCTTCATGAAGAGGTGGCATGCAGAGGGTATGGTGATCACAGTGAGGTGACCCTCTGGGTTCCAAGCAATGGCAGTTGGTGCGTGCATCACAGATGCAGAGAGCAACATGTCATAACATGTCCAGCCTATGGGCGCTATCGTCAAACTCCTCACAACTCAAACCATGTGGGAAGTAGGAGCCTGAGTTGACTGGATGGAGCCTTGGACTGCTGTATTGACCATGCAAGCGGCAAAACGAAATGCTGAACATGAACCTTCAGCAGACCAGCCCAGATAAGTTTGCGAAGTCTTCTTACATCTACGTCGTTTTCGGCGAAACCCCAGCATGGCTTGTGTGATGGACTCTTTGGGAGCGTAAACACATCTTGCCGGAGGTTCTGGAGCAGCTGCACATGACGACCCAGGAGAAGGTGCCAGGGCTTAAGCACTTCGCTCTTGGCGTCGCTGTGATGATGCTGGTGCTGGTGCTGCCATAGCTGGTGGTGACAGTCCGCAGTTGGAATCCTAGTGGGGGGTCTTGATGATGGTGTGTGTGGTCGTAGCTCATAGTACTGATCCCATACTGAGCCCGGGGAGAATGCAAGAGACAGGGAGCGGTCTCCCGTAGTGGTGGTCTGTGGCGGTTGCGGTCCGTGGCGGCGGTCTGTGGCTGCGGCACGTGGTCGTCCGCGGGAGCAGGGTCGCTCTGGTTATCGTCGTAGTCTGCAAGGTTGCAACTGATAAAGAAGAGCTTGCTAGGAGTCCCTTGATCCTCATGTAGCATGCACTCCCTTCTGAGTACCTTCTGAGGCCCTGTCCTTGTTCTAAAGACCCATGTGCATGACGTGCTTGGCTGCTGAGGAAGAGTTGGAAGGAAATGCCGCTTGGTGCCAATACTGTGAAGCTTCAGCTGTCTTGCAGCAATCTGAAAAGGAGCCCCAGCCCTGCAAGAGCCCACGGACCTTCACGTGAACTATAGTCTGAATTCATTAAAGGGGGTCATATAGGGGATTATATAGGGCAGTATTATAGGGCTGCTTAAGGAGGATGCTAGGAGTTTAGACTATAGCTGTAGCTCATATGAACTATAATCTAAACTCGTTAAGGGGGCTATATAGGGGAGAATTATGGGGTTATTAAAGTCATCAAACATTCCATGCCCTGCGCAAGTCCTGCTCTGATGGCCCGCTGAGGGGAACAGTGGTCTAAACTCCTAGTACCCCCCCGGTAATACCTCCCCCTATACAATCCCCCATAAAACCCCATGAATGGGTTTTAGACTACAGCTCAGGTGACCAAGATGGAACATGAAGCCGGGTGCTGAGACTAATTTTGCTTTACACGCGGGAGCCGCGGTGCGACGTACCGCGCAGGGTATAACGAAATTGCAAGACTATGCTTTCAGCATGCAAGGGGCATTAAAACAAAACATTGCGATGGCCGCAGAAGATGTTGGCAAAATGTGATTTCTGCTCAGTGCTCTGAATGTCAAAGTGATAAAACTTTAAACAAGCGAGGGTAAACCGGCGGGAGTAACTGTGACTCTCTTGAGGTAGCCAAAGGCATCCTTTTTATGGCCATGACGCAGGCAAACTGCAAAGCTTTAATTGTGCAACCATACACCTCAGTGTCATATCCGAAGTGAACAGAGAACCCGGCAACCTGTTACGTGGTAAAAGGAAATAGAAATAAATAGGCAAATGTATTAGTGATTAATAGTGATCGCCATGCCAAGCTGTGAGACAGAGAGAGAGAGAGAGAGAGAGAGATTCATAGCCATGGTAGTCACAATAATAGTCTGTTTGGGAGTATGCCATAACCCTAAACCCGAAACCCCTACTGACTTGTTGCCGGAAAAGGTGATGGACTTCGACAAAACCATCAAAGCATGCAAGGCTGGGCGGGCCTCCAGGAAGCAGGGGGCCTTTTCAGTTGCATTGGTATTTTATAGGGTTTAGGGCTTACATTCGGATTTCATCAGGTTTAAGAGCCCAAAAATGAAGAATCAAGTGGCAATGGAAAAGAGCACGGAAATGTAATGGATGCTGTGATGATGAGGGCGGTTGATGTTATGTTGGGTTTAAGGTTGGGTTTAGAGCTACTCCCTACATATCCCCATGACCACCTCAAGAACACTTGTTAAGACTGCTTCTCCGGTTCCCAACTAGCTACTGAAGACTTTAGGACCCTACTCTCAGATGATCGACTCTGGGGTGTGTTTGCCTCACTGGGTTTAGGGTTGATTGTTTAGGGGCTATAAGGCCCTAGGTAGCCTCCCTCCATCACATGCATGTGCTGCGTATGTCGAAAACCTTGTATGGTAGTTTCCAAAATTAAGGGACCCCAATATAAAACCCAATATATTGAAATCCTTATTATGGGGAAACCCAAAAAGGCACCCCAATTTTAGGAAACCCCATATGTCGGAACCCTTGTATGGGGATCTTTGAACACCGTCCGAGTGTTGGAGGTGCCCTTGCAAGAAGCCCCAGATCTGGACAGCCATTTCGGGGGGGTTCCGTAAACAAGGGGGTCGCTCTTTGGGGGGTATAGTCCCCCTTAAGTAGATAGAATATGGGTATATTATAATAAGATCCCCATATAGCCCATATTCTATCTACTTAAGGTCAGAGCAACTGCCAGGCATTTAAGCCTTGGAATGCATCTTTGAGAAAAGAGTTGGACCACCTTGCTAGCCTAACGCAACAGATAGAAACTTGCCTGGACTCCAGGTCAGAGTAGCATGCTTAGCTGTTTTGTGCGGCTGTACCTGAATCTCTCCGAAGAAGACGGATGGTGTGCTCGGCAAAAGCTATGCGTTAATTCACGGCGGTGTGCAA